GGCAAGTTTATAAACTTAAAAATACATTATAACAGTATACTTAAAATATACTTTTGTTAACAAAACAAAAAAATCCCAATTTAGTATGAACAAGTATAAAATCAGTATACTTTCTAGTACACTACAAGTACATGGTGCCAAGTATACTTGATACACTTGAACTTATACTCAAGTATACTTATTAAAATGAACTTCAAGTATACTACTTTTTGCTAAGGGTAATGAATCCTTTATTTGAGAGCATGTAATTTTATAAATCTTGTGGGATTTTATTTGGTAGTTGTTTATTAGTCATTTTGTTGTGTAAAAAGCAACATGTTGTGTGAACCACTGTTTCTTCTGTTAATGTAATACACTGATGGTTCAAATTAGATTTGTTTTTGCAGAGAAACAAAAAAAAAACACATCACATGCCATTTGATGGAAATGTTTATGAGCTCAGAAATCAGAGTGTGCCCTAAAGATGCTCATTCATCTCTTTCATATTAACCCTATTAGCAGTCTCTGTGACAGAGCACTATAATAAGGACTGCCAGGATATTGCTGTTATTATTGCTCTGACTTCAGTTTGAGACGACCTAACTCTCTCTCACCCACACATCGGAGGTAATGAGACAGGTGTTCAATGAAAGGGGAGTCAGTTTTCAAAGGGTTTTGCAATTTGGTTCGAAATACTTCAAAGACGAACACTGACCAGATCTGAGTTTGCATTTATGCTCTGCTACAGGTTCAAATTTCTTTATTTTTTTACAGTAAATAATTTCAATAGCAGTAACAAATTCTTCTCTTTTATACAACTATTATATCATTAGAATGAAATATTTGCCCATGCCGAACTTAAGTGTGAAAGTATGCACAAAATCAAACACAATGACTGCAATAGTGCCATTCAGGTTCGAGTAGTTGAGTTGTTGTGTTTGGAAGACAGTCTGGAAAAATGAATCCATCATCATCTGAATGGTGCCATCTGTACATACAGTCCACCACATGCACGCACGCGCGCACACACACCCATACATAAATACACACTGCAGCATCGGCACATCAACATCAGTCAAGCCAAACAATCGCCTGTGCTAGGCAACTGTGCCATCCCAGCGCAGATGGCAGAGCCTGATCATGTTTATTTTACTTTAATCTAATGCGTTTAAGTCCCCTTGCCTATCCATGCTGTCTAAATGATGTGGCTGGGTTTATGCAAGTGTGTGGGGGGATGAGGGGGTGAGTGTCTTCAAAAGAGGTGATAGAGTTTATGTAGGGTGGTCCGGACAGCCTAAGCATGATTGCTTAAAGGATTCTTAAATAATATTTTTTGTTCATTTTGTAATATTGTCCAGTAGATTATTTTTTTCTTGGATTGGCAGTTTTGGCTGTTCGGTTTAGTTATTTGCATGGTCATATTTCTCCCAAAGTCATTGTTTCTAACTTCCTGCATCCCTACTGTAATTTATTATTAATCAGCACCTCTGCTGCCTCTCAGTAACTCGATCATCGTCGTCAGATGATCTGTTAACATTTATGTATTGCTGGTTCCCTAGTTGTGGTATAGCTGAATTTAATTCTTGGTAGCCTATTTTTAAACAAGACTTTGCGAAACCCGAAACATTTTGTTTCAAACGAAATATCACAAACCAAATCTTGTTTGAAAACATAACTGAAATCTCAATTTTCTGCAGACTGCTGAGTCATGAGTCTCAGCCTTTGTGAATATTTTTCTACGGTGGGGAAAAATAATGCAGCTCAAAATTTATTACAGTGTTTAAACCTTTTTTCAGATCCCAGATGGGCTGGAAGAAGGTGTGTATGACTTTCGTTCTTACGGTCTCATGCAGATGGGTTTACCCCAGCTTTACTTTAATCCAGTGTGTTGCAAGAAGCAGATCTGTTTCATTCCACTTGTATCCACCCTTTATTTTTAAATGTATTTTTAGTCTGCCATTTGTTTGCAGACTAACCAAGTTTCCCCGACTCATCAGGCCTCTGCAGTCACTCTACATTTTAATGGTAATCCCAAAGGTGAGGTCAAATTTAAACACTGCTAAACACTTTCTGCTTAATCTGGTTCATCTCTCTTTGATGATTTCTGCCAATTGTGCTTTTGATAGTGTAAAAATAATAAGAAACCTTTTTTTTATTTTTTATAATCAACGCTGGATTTTAAATTATACTCAAAAAACCATGTTATTCCAGCAATGGACCATTATTTAAAACAAACTTCCAAACTCTTTTATTCTATTAGATCCGTGACATTTACAGCAGGTAACCCTTAAATGGTAATGAACTGATCAACACATTTATCTATCTCTTTTTTGGGTCAAAATTTGGCTTTGTACTTGTCCTTCACCAGGTTGGCAGAAGTAATTTCCTAAATTTATGTCATTGATACTACTGGAGCTTTCAATGCTCAGTTGATTAATTAAATTTGTGCATGTTGCTTTTTAGGTAGTTCATGTTGTTGAAGCTTATTTGAGAGCTTTCTCTCTGGTATAAAATTTTCTCAAATTGTATTATTGTATTTAGTTTTAAATTAAATTGCTGAGGAGCCATGCCATCTGTTGCATAATTGAATTAATGTTCTTCGTGGTGAAGACAGTTTTGTACGATTTTTTTTATAACTTTGAATTAAAAAAAAGAACTGATCACATGCCTCTCTGGTAGTATTGTGCAATAAATGGGATTCTGAACCTGAAATTAATAAGCAAATGAGCAAAAGTCATTAAACACTGGATCCACAGCTTGTCTCTGGCATCGTCTGCTTCAGTATTGTCCGTCTACGTGTCTTCCTGACAGCAACAGCAGCTTTTGGTTCTGTCAGTTTCCTATACATCACCTTTTTCATTTCAATGTGTCGGCTATGAAACATCTATTTTTACACATCGTATTTTTGGGAGATAGCGTTCCATTCTCTTCCTTGGGAGGCTGGTCTGTATATGTGGCAGCGAGCTGGAGGGGCTTTAGGTCCTTCATCCCCCTTGTCGATTCTTTATCCCTGCAGGCTTAGCAGCACAGGTCTTGGCAGCTGCCACAACGCTAGACGGGCAGGGCATAAATTGCTCTGTCTCATCCAGAATAATGGCAACACACAAACAAACCTAATATAAGACATCCACGGTGCTGTAACCACACAGTCAGGGTAAGGTAGTTACCACACCTGCAGGCTTAACTGGTCTGGATGGCTGAACTTGTTTCGGGACATGAAATTGTTCGAAACCCAGTAACTGCTTGGGCCGAGCCTACCGCACAAACTTGTCTTGTTTACTTTTGTTAAAAGGAGAATCTGACATACTTTAAGACTTTCAGAGTTGAACAAAAAGTGTTGCTCATTTTGTCAAGGCTAGGCCGTAGTAGGGAAAGCTTGTACCAGTTTTGCTGGGTGAGTTTACGACACATCAGGTCCTTTCATTCAATATGTTGCTCAATTTTTTCGCTTCAATTTCATCAACGGCACCAAAAAAAATAAATAAATAAAATAAAAGTTTTCAAATACCTTTACTTACTGACACCAACGACTACAAAGTCCGTAGGCTCACGTTCATTTCTGAAAACTTTTTGAGAATCGATCTTCATAGCATTGTGTGCTCAGCTGTGTTGAACAAACAAGAGCCACTTTATTGACAAGTGCTGTGGAAGTACGCAGCATGAGTGGCCCCGGGGCTGTGTATTAGACCCACATAGCCCTGTTGACACAGTTTGCAAGAAAAACTGCTGTTGTTTGTCAGCTTGGATCTAAAAAACAAGAAATCAAATCATCTAACTCTTTCTTTTTTTTCCTATATTTTCCGCCCATTTCTAACCAGGCTCTTTGTGCAAAATTTGCACCTTCTGTCATCCATTTCACTCGTATATCATTTTTCATCAACCTTTCCCTCCCTCTGCTCTGTTCCAGTTAGTTATGTAACCACAGTGTCCATGCCATTAGAATCCTCATTTTGACAGTTTGGTCCTCTCGAGCCAGAATGGTTGCCAGTCTGTTCGAGGTATAGCTCATTACATACTGAAAATGATTATCCATAAAAAAAAGGGCATGTGTGCTAGTGCCATTGTGAAGCACATTTCTACTTTACGTTTGATCTAGTCAAATTAGTAACACGACAAGTCATTTGGCACCTATGAAATTTAAGTTACATAACTCGCCATGTGTGCGGGTTCAAAACAGTCCCGTCAGCTGATGTTATGTGACCAGTGTTGATTGCAAACCAAAAAAAGACTAGAACTCGGGGATTTAATGCATGTTCAGCCTGGACTGATAAACGCTGCACAATTCCTCACTGACCTGATTCTTATCTTGTCACAATAAGATGGGATTATGATACCTGATGGGAAACTAAAAAAAGACAAAAAAAAAGGGGGAAAGAAAACATCTTATTACATGTGTTAAACAGAACCAATACTGCTGCTCTGCTCTATTTGTAAGGTTTATTTCAGGACATCTTGATTCCTAGAAAACAATATCTGTATTTGAAATGTTTAGTCTAGCATTTGTTTGCAAGGTTATTCAGAAACAATGAGAATAGATTGGTTTAGTTGTTTATATTCTTATATAATAAATTTCTTTCTAGTTCGATGTAATAAACTCCATACAATAGTGTTTTCTTTTAACAAAAATAAACTTGAACAGAGGGATATAACATGTAGCTACCAAAATCATACAGTATATATAAAATAAAGGTTTAAAGTATAAATAGGCATTATTTTAAACAGAGAATATAATGTGTGCCGTAAAATAAGCTAAAATTATGAACAAGAAAAGGTAAATAAATAAGAAGCCAATTAAAAATGTGACCTCCTTTCAGTGGACTGCTCAGGTTTAACAGCTGATATGACAGACGTGAGCCCTGCATGCAGCAGAACCCAGTTCACTTTGTGGACTTTCTCAAATGACCCATCTTTATGGCATAAATATTTGAAGCAACTCCACTCTGCCCTCTAGTGGACTCTAATTAGACCACAAGACCCACTGTCCCTTTACAGCTGAAATGCAAATTGTAACACAAAACACATCATTTTAAATAAAATATTTACTGTTGTTTGAAATTAGAAATTACACATCATGGAATGACTTTTTAAGCTGCATCTACACAACACTGTAAATATATAATGTACAAAATCTTTAGACAAACTGTAATATTTTGGCTATATTCTTCTAACTTCTGTAAAGATACAAACACAAAAATACTTCCCCAAAAATCCATTAAACAAATTTACCCTCATATGCTTAGTTTTAACACTGGCAACGACCTACGACTGCACATAGCGGATAATCTCACTCAGATCGTAGCCCGTCACCGCAAACGCATATCCATCGCCGTCACAAAACTTGGCACCACAGATCTGTGTATCCGTCACACACTCGTTATGCAAATGAGCAACCTAGAAGGGAAATGAGGAAAAAGTGAGGGGGGTAAAAATGAATGAACAAAGCCAGATTTTTATTTTGGAAAAGTGATAAATTGTCTGAAATAAAATGAAAAGCAGCCGATATTTAAATATGGAAGTGCAATAATCAGTGACCTCCACAGTGTTGGTTTCTGGTGTCAGGGCCAGGTGCCACACTCTGACATAAGAGTCCTCCGCAGCAGACAGAAGCTAAAGCAAAAGCAGAGAAGGCCTATCAGTTCAGATATACAGTATATCTATATACAGTGGTTTGCAAAAGTATTCATACCCCTTGAACTTTTCCATATTTTGTCACATTACAACCACAAACATAAATATATTTCACTGG